TTTTGCGAATGGAAGTTCAGGTAGCAACAGATAGCTGTTTTTTTCGCTACAACGATGTCCTAAACCTGTTGCTAGTTCTCTTGATTTGTGAGTCTAGGAAGGTATGTCGCTGTTGTCTACACGTTCCGTAGTAAACTGGATGGATAGTCGCAGGCTGTTGAATTGGTCGAGGAATAAGGTCATGTCTTATTGGCCTTGCCAGAGGACGAAGATGTCGATGTTTCGCAGCAACACTGATGGTTTGAGTGATGTGGTTTCCATCGACATATTCTCAAAATGTTCCATGTATATGTTCTTAATCATCGGTCGCAGAGGTTTAGAGAGGTCACTTCACGGATTGAACGTCCTGGATCCAGTCCAGACCAGTCCGGGTAGCTCAGATCCAATCCACCCAGTAATCCGCTTTTTCCTGATTTCTCAATCCAACCCGATCTGGTCCGACTTCCTAGGAAAAATCATCACTTGAGTCCGGGCCAACCGCTACTCCCTTAACGGTCGTTTAAATTTTAACAGCAAATTTGATTTATTCGAGTATCATAGACTTGAGTCATCTGTTAATTTAGATTGGAAAGCATGTGAAATAAGTTACCACAAAGCAGTGGGGTTTAACTGCTTATATACTGAATTTGTGTGTTGCACATTGGTATCGGGTTTTGAGCTGAAATAGCAATCACGAAGATCATTCAGTGCAGTTCACAGTCCCCCCCCCCCCCATTTTAAGACCTAGACACTTCTCGTTTCTGAGCTACGCGCTCGCGAGAATGTTCAGACTATCACGGGGGTAGACTATCTCAAGGCCACCCAGGCGACATCCATGACGTCATAATTATGTCATTTAAATCCTGTCATTCCAGTAGTCATGCGGCGACCAAGACCGACGCAACTATAATTGTTGAGTCGTTCATATCTGGCGTTCGCGAGCACGATTTCAAGGTAGAGCGTCCGCCAATTGACTCTCAATCAATGTTGTGCAAGGTACCATGACGTATTCAAACAATGACGCATTGAGGAGCATGTATACTAAAAAGATGAATTGTGTTGCCTAGAGCAGTCTTTTCTGCTTAAAGGCGTACCAATAGTTATAGGGGAGCTTTTTCGTCATATTCAATGCTTGCTTTAAGATATTTAAATATGGAACATTCCGTTTAAGAAGTCGTCGTAGCCGAGTATATGAATGCAACAAAACTGACGGATACATATAGAAGATCTTCATGATAAATGGCCGAAACGCGAACAAATGTCGATATTTGGCTAAGCGAATGCAATCTTGAGAATGTCATTTTGCATAAAGATCAGAGCAAACAAGGCTCACAATATTACTGATAACACCACAATAAACTCGGCCATGATTTACAAATACCAGCGCATTGAAGCAACAACATCGCTTCCGGTTTCAGTAACCTAAAGACATGAGCACATTATCTAAGAAGTCCAGACTTCAGGTAACGTGAAACATATTATACGTGCCATTCGGCAGTGTCAGCGATACTCATTTGTTATGCGCAGGATGACGCCCGTCTAGCCGTAGGTCCACTGAATAGATAAAACGGCCGTCTCATCTCATTATGATAGTTTATGGGTACATCCGTTCTAGGATGCACCAACTGGCGAAACAACAGCAGCTGCGGTCATTATTTTCTGCTAGGTTAATCGTTACGTTAAAATTATGATTCAAGCGTGTGATTCTTCTATGGTAGATTCCTGTGGTGCCTGCTCATTCATTCCGGAAAATGAATCAGTTACGTCATTTTTGAAACCAATGCTAAAATGTCATATGCTACCAGAACTCTTTTTTACACATGCTGAAAATAATACGAACGATGGTTTTGGTTGTTACCGTGCATCTTACAGAAGCACGCAGTTACATAAACATTAAAAACAATTTTGGGGGATGTATGTCACTTTTTACAAGTTTTATTGTGTCGGCACACTAACGGAGATTCCATCAATGATTTATTAGATAGCGCAGCGTTTAAGTGAGTGTGTAATGTCTCTTGTGCGCAGTGAGTGTCACTGAATCGAATGTACAATTCACTCTCTTTCGCCTCCTTTTGGGACTTTTGAACTCTTTGGACCTCAATTCGCACCTTAATAAAGTAATTCGAGCATATCTTTCATCTTTGTCATTTTTACATTGATAAGGAGGACGCATTACCCGTAACAGCACCGCGAAATGGTGCTGGAATCCCGTGGTGGAGGTGGAAGATTAAAGATAGAATCTGTATTTTTCGTGTCACTTTAAGTGTTGGTTTGACCGGAGGACGTTCTCAGGATTGAAAAAAACAGTGTAATCTTGAAATGGTTCTAACGTATCATGAAGGACTTTCATCAGAATTATTCCCCACTGTCGTTCTCGCACGCACGGCACCGCCGCCAGGCGTTACCTGCAGCGGCCAAGGCCGTTCGGTTTTACGAAGACTGCTACCCGGCCATCGCTGCTTTTGCTGCTGAGATTGCTAGTGTGCAGGAGGTGAAGCTGTTTTATGTATTTTGTTTCACAGTCGATTCTGCAAATGAATGTACGTTCTCATGAGTACATTGGTTGATCTTTTTACTTTTGACCCCATTTCGATCCACTCCATTCAACACTTCTGAGACTCCTTACGTTTTCCGGGAAGGGGCCCGTGAGTATAGAACATTAGGGGGCGCCGTATCATTACCGGTCCAGGGCTGGAGGGTCATTCCTTCCCCGCGCGGGGTCCATTCCGGCTGCCATCTGACGGCATGCGGGTGGGGTCGCCTGGTCGATCCGGAGGTCCTTAGAGGCATACGTCATACCATATTGAACCCCAGAACATATGCTGAGGGGACTGTAAGCAGCCATACGGAAGAACCAGAGCTATATAAAAAGACCGACAGAGCCTTTAGTACTAGAGGAGCGTGGGTTTGCCCGTACATTTCTATGTTCGCCGTACATGACAAAAAGGGATGATGCCATTTACCACATGAGGTAATCGTGTCCAGTGCGGTTTGAGGAAGATGGCTGGTGAACCAGGCAAATTGGCATGTCTGTTTAAACGGAACGTTTCACATTTGACGATAGTAAATCAGGCATGAGATGTAATGAAACCAGCTCACTTATAACTATTGCTACTAATTTTAATGGAAAAGGCCGCTCTAGACAGACAGCGTTTTCAGTAAGTATACTCCTTAATGTGTCGCGGTTGGATTACGTCATCGTACCTTGCACAGCATTGATCGAGAGCCAATTGACGGCCGTTACGTCTGGAAATCGCGGTCACAAACGCCAGATATGAACGCCTCGACAGGTATACGTTTCTTGGTTTTGATCGCCGCATGGGTTATGGAAAAGCAGGATTTAATGACCTTGTTATGGCGTCATGAATGCCAAGGTGGCTGGAAGACTCTCCTCGATATACCTTTCCCCATTTTCGCGGGCGTGTAGCTCAGAAACTACAGGGGCTTGGGTCTTAAGAAAGGCAGGATTGTAAACAGCACTGAAAGGTCTTCAAAGTGGTTACTTCAGTTCAAAACCGCATATGAATGTGAATACTCCCATAAAGATGGTACAGAAGTAAGCTAAACACAAATTGAATATGATAAAATGAAGGAGCCAGTTAACATTGCTGGTCCCCACCTTGAAAAGCGGGTGGGCCAGGCGCGGGCGAAAGGCCAAACAGTTCGCCCGTGATACTTATGCCTTGTTCCATTTCTTCCGAAAGCGATGATGACAGGTGTTTTAAATTTGTACACTATTCCCGATAGTGTAAGTTTGATTTGAAAATTGACAGGCAAACTGGTGGCATTTTCGCGGTGTTCCTGGTACCCATATTCTCACGTGAAGGTGGTAACCGTGCCCGCAAGCATAACAGTGCCCCAAATATTGAATATTGCGCGATGATAAGTTAGGAAGTGCATAGTCCCTACAGCTATCATGCGTAATCGTAACCACCACTGAGGTGGGTGGACTCTGGACCTCAGGAACGTTTTGGCTTACGAAGCCATTTCCCAGAAATGTTTGAGCGGATGGATCATGTAAAATAACACTAAACCGAAAAGCGGATTGCAGTATCATTCAAAACGTGGTCACACCCACCTTGTTATGAGTATATCTGGTAGGCATATACAGATAATTCAAGAGCCTTGCACCGTCATTATTGTCCCTTGACAACTTGAAAATATAGCATACGTGATCTTAATTACCCCTGGTGCTGTGCCGACAACTATGCGGTGGCGTCTCTGTCCAACGAGCTGATTTGTCCAAGATAGAAGCGAAACAGCTGTGCAGTTCCCTCCTAACCAAGGTCCAATAAAGACATGTTTTAAAAATATATCGCGTGAGGTTGTATCAAAAGTCTTCTGACTAAAGACTTTCTTTTGCGATTGATACTCGTGTTAATATGATATTTTTAGGGGCGAAGCACATTTAATGATCGAGGATAGGAATTCAAGTAGTGAATGTAATTTTTCAATAAGCCCTCGGGGTCATGAGCAAGAGTTAAGTTGAAAACACCGCATTAACTTCAGGACTAGAGGGCATAATAACATCATTTTCCTACCAATCAGCTTTTATAAAAAAATGATAATAGCATAGAGAACATACGTAGCGTAGAGAATGTACGCGCACCCTTTTCACTGTAGTTTCAACAATGAAGCCAATACGGCTCGCAGTCAGCAAAATGGGCGAGCGCCAGGCAACCCTCGCCTTGCGGTATCAAGACGAGTCGTCACCGAGCGGTGGCCTTTCTGCCGCCGAAGTGCTCTGTTTGGTTCAGTCACTATTCACTGCGGGGCGTAGCGGTGCAATTCAAAACCGCCTTTCCGCGCCGGCTGACATCGGCCAACAGCGAACTGGACGCTTTCTATGCTAATGCCGGTGCCACGTGATCCTTTGTCATCCGCCACCGCCGGCGGAGCGTGCGCTCGTGAGCGGCGTGGGCGCGCCCGCGGCTCGGCGGCCGGATCCGCCCCACCTGACGCGCCGGCGCGCCGACCGAGCGTCGTCTGGCCGCCGGTGACCGGGGGCGCCGCTGTTCCAGGGCCGGCGTACCGGGTGTACCGGATCCCACGCGACATCCCTGCGCTGCCAGCCCGGGCGCGGGAGCCGGCGGCGGCAGGAGCCGGACCCCGACCGGCTGGCCACATGACGCTGCGCACCTTCCACAGCGCCGCGCCCGGCGCTCCCGGCGCCGCGGTCAGTATCCTCCGGCCGTGGGCCCGGTGGACCCCGGCTGAGGTCCGCCCTGACGCATCGCCCGCTCGCAAGAGAGTGCCGATGTACACGTTCGTGTGTGCATGCTTGTGCTCGGAACAGCGCTATGTAGTGCGTGGACTGTATCGGCATTCCAACTGTTAACGGAAGGCTTGCGCCCGGTATTTTTTTGCACCTTAAGCGTGCCGCATTTTGTCTTACCATGCCTGAGTGTTTTGATGGTGATTGCCGGATATATTGGCATATTTCCAACCAACAAAACAACGCTCAAGTCCTTGTCATTTGTTCGGCCAATCAGTGAGCTTCATGCGCTACTCTCGTTGGTTCCAATGCAAGTGTCCCACAATTTTCCGGACCAGAATGAGTCAAACACGCTGTTCGTAGGGCTCACGTCCATGGAACGCCAAAACGTAGCATCTTTTATATTAACTTGCCTTAGGACTGGCAAGTCTTGTGCAGAGTTGCTAAGTATTTAATATACCAATGTGTAGTAATGCTTAGATGATAACTGATCGCATCCAGGTGCATAATTGATGAAATTCTGGTTGCTGGGAAAAAGAAATGTTATCACTCCACTGAAAAGAGCGTTGTCTGAATCCAGTCAGAAACCCCCTTTTCCACAAGTCATCTCGTTGCCGGCATCACCCGACTAACGTTTACCTCCAGACTGTGGCGTGCTACTCAGCGACGCTGCCGACGCCACAGCGCGGCACGTGCCGGCAGCCGGCTCGCCAGGGGTGCGTCACCCTGGACCGGCGCCGGCCGCAGGCGCCGCCGGCACGCCTCCAGGCCGGACGGCCCGCCGGACACGCTCTCGCCGCTGATTGGCCGCGGCGTCGACGAGAGCGCGTTCTGACCGGTCAAGGTCGCCGCGGCGATGACGTGCGGCGTCCGGGAGATTCTTCGCGAGCGTGCCACCGGTGGGTTTTGATTAGGCTGAGTGCTGCAACTGAACGCTGCAGCTGATCTCTGAGTTTGCTTCTCCGGCGCCCGCCTTTCGAGCGGCCGGGGATGCCGTTATGGCGCTCACGGCGCCGCGAATGGTCCGATTGGGCGTATACGGCGGAGAGAGAAAACCCGGCATTGTAGGCTGTGGCGTGGCGTGAGTCCGTATTCGTCATATTCATGGCTATTTAACGCGGTAATGGCGAGCATGTTCGAACGACTGCAACGATCTCAATGTTGGTCGTCGACGTCCGCGTGGGCGGATGCGTTATGATGGCTCCGTGGCATCGACCGCCAGCAATCATTAGTTGGTTCCTCGATATAGCTGAGAAAAGTCCTCGATCCTATTATTGCTTTTGCCTGCACCGTGAGTTCCTAAACTGAATATAACTAGCTCGCAGCTTACCAAAAGATGATAGTGAAAAGAGGTCAGGTAATCACTGGTGTATTATGCAAATGCGCGACGCTTCTAGCAGTGCTCATCGCCACAAAGTATGCCAGTTAATCCGTCAGCTAACGGTCGCCTTGTGGTATTTGGAAGGCCGACTAGTTGTCTGGAAAACATCAAAACGCTCTTGTCCTCTCTTTGTTTTTGTGTGGCATTCGCATGCTCAGAGGTATTGTTTGTAGCATGCGTGCCTGAAATCGTGAAGAAACGCATGCTGACGTAATTTGCATGGACATAAAGCGAGCATTGTGAAATATAACAGCTATTCCTCGGCTCACGTTTGTCTGCAACAGCATCTGATGATCCGCACGCCTTTAAATTACGCCCCCATCAAAATAAACTATTGTTTCCAGCGATTTTAAATGTTGTATCTCTTTCAGCGATATAAAATATCGTATCTAACACGTACAAATTTCTCTTGAAACGAAATCATGACTGCTGGCCCAGTACCCGGTACTAAATAATTTAACGGCGTGGGATCGCTAGCCACGTCTTAAACAAACTCATTGCGGCTGGACCAAGACAAGGAGCTGCTTGATCACCTTCGGCTATGCGTTCGCTATTTGACCTTCCGTTTTCTTTGCGACAGTGATGTGCCCGTACCCTCAGCCCCTCGCTGTCTGGACAGGACTATTTCGCGATGCCCGTGGTTCACTGTCCGCGTTATTCAGCGCGCATGCACCCCTCGACGCGACATTGCTGTTTGAGCGGCAAACAGGCTCAGGAACTCAGGCTTTACAAATACACACGTAGCTGAACAGCTAATGCATATTGCAATGTTGAGACAGTGAAACGTGTCGTCGGAAGTCGAAGATAACGTCCTCCCTATGATAAGCATGTCGACACATTCCGCAAAGTCGGGCCCGTGTTAAACACCCGATAACAACTTGAAATGTATCGCAATACATGATCTGCCTCTGCCTCGCCTGTGTCTCTGCGCCTGTGTCTTAGTGCCGCTTTGTCCCTATGCCCCTGCATCTCGGCATGTTTCTCTACTCTGTATTGTTCTACGTCACCGCCTGTCTGCTTAGCCTCGGTCTCATTCCGTCTGCACCCGACTTCACCACTATATTTTCTGTATCTGTGCCTCTGTCCCTATTCCTCGGTCTTCGCTTGTTGCGGCCTCTGACCGTGCTCTTTCCGGCTTACGAAACCTCTATCCTCGTGATCACTTGGCATCCAGAAACCAGTTTGTTCTGGACACAAAATTTCTATTCGGCTGTCGGGTCTTGAACCGGTCAATGATGGAGACTTGGCGTAATGGGTGAGGTCAACGATAAATCCCCAGGACGTATAGATTTTCCAACGTGGCGTAGGGCCATCTGAGAAACAAATGATCGTGTGGCGCGCGCTGAGATATCGGTTTTCAGAGGTTGCTTTTGACGGAATGGACTGAACGACCTCAGTAATGGGCTCGATCCTGTGCGGATGGCTGTTCGTGTTGCGGACTGGACCGAAGGCACGACGTGCGCCTCGTTTTTTAACGCCAGCATATTGCCAAATGGTTGGAGTGTCTCTGGTTTCAGCCGCGGACAGTGAAGCCGACGGCTCTCAGTTGGGAACTGGCCGCTGAGCTAGGCGCTAACGACGGGGACCCCGAGGCTAGCCGGCCAGGGCAACGCAGCGAATGTGCTTAATGCTGCAGTACCTTAGCTGTCACGGTTTTAACACGTGCAATGGCGACATGGAGGCGCTACCTTTCGTAGATCACGACACAAACGTTTCGAGATCACGTTCATCACATTTTGCGTTCACGCGCTTGCTGACACACAGGGTGTGTGTTCTCATAAGTACATTCCAGCGTCTCTTGTTTCGTCACCGTTCCGTGCATGTGCCCTGAGATAGTACGGTCAAACATATACATGCAAGGCCTCAGCGCCGTGACCGGATTTGGGATGCCACTGATCACAGCCATTGATGACGTGGTGCTCTTGGTGCTTGGTCCAGTACTCCAAGGGCTGTGCGATGCCTTAGTCTTATTGGCACGATGCACATACTTGTGAGAGAAGGGTGTTAGTATATTCCAGTACGGTGATTCCCTTTGTTCCATCAAAGATTACTTACACGTGTTGGTCTGGTGTTGCTTGGTTGGCATTCTTATCTTTGCCTGTGATTGCTGCTAAGATGTACATTTAACCGAGCCCATTATCTGTTCTAAACGGATCCTCGGCAAGGCCTCTGCGGGTGGCTGAACCTGCCGATGAGCAGCGGTGCTGGCCCTGCTACCAGAGCGCAGGTCGCTGCTCCTCCCAGAGCGGGGTTGGCCACAACCCTCAAACAACCCCAACCCCAAGCCATATCGCCTTAATTAAGTGTTCAAGGAAGCGTTCTTCTTGAGCTGCCCAATGACAGCAGGGATCTGGCGTGTGCTTTTAGCCGTTTTTTTCTTTGATCGTGGTGACACATGTTTTATGTTTTGTTTTAGTTACCATTGTTATGCACTTTTAAGTATACAATCTATGCTCGTGGCTGACGATTTTTTGACTTCGCTAAATATTTGACGCGAAAGAATTATTGCGGCCAGGTTGTTGTCCGGAAGCCCTCGCAGCAAACGCTTTGTGCACCTCAATTCAACCACGCACGCATCATCGACAAAAGATCCCCCCTCCCCATAGCAGTTCGCATCGCTCTCCACTCACCGCAATACCGCTCCTCTCCGCAGGTCACTTGGTGTGTCGCTGCCTGAGCCAGACCGACCTCCGTAGGCTGTGATTCCCGGGAAGACTGTAACGACGGCGGCGGAAGGGAGCAAGGGGAATGCCGTACGCAGCCTGTGATCCCTGAGACGACAACGACGACGGCGACGGATGGGAGCAAGGGGACTGTTCGGCGCAGCCTGCGGTTCCTGAGACGACAGCGACGACGGCGACGGGGGGGAGCAAGGGGACTGCCCGACGCAGCCTGTGATTCCTGAGACGACAGCGACGACGCAACGAAGGGGAGCAAGGGGATGCGCGACGCAGCCTGTGGTTCCTGAGACGACAGCGACGACGGCGACGGCAGAGAGCAAGGGGACTGCCCTACGCAGCCTGTGATTCCTGAGACGACAGCGACGACGGCGACGGAGGGGAGGAAGGGACTGTTCGGCGTCGGTCAAAGTTGCCGGCATCATTCAGCGTGCGTGAGCTTCTGCGGGTGCGTCGAATGCAGAGACGACGTCTCGCCCGGATCGGCAGCAATGACATGTCCACCGAGCGGGGTGCGGATGCGTACAGTTAACGAAGTTCACATGTGTACAGCTGTGTCAGGGCTCGCGGCATTTCTTTCTGAGGTGCGGATAGATTCCAGCTGTGTCGGGGTCCGCAGCGCATGACTGTCTATACAGACACACACACACACACACACACACATATATATATATATATATATATATATATATATATATATATATATATGTCTGTATACTGACCACTTCAATGAGAGCAGTTTAAGCCATATCCGTTTACGAGAGCGAGGTCCTGTCCGGCTCATGCACAGCCTGGATATTCAAAAATGAGACGAAACCATGGTTGTCGCACTATCATCATGATATCCAGGCAGGAAGCGACCGTGTGCCTTACCTTGCCGAACGTGATGAGGAGCTGGGCGCTCCTGCCAGCTCGTTCTAGCTCCGCTTGTTTGCGCCGTGTGGCGGCCGGGCGGAGGCGGGTCGGCTCCCCGCTCGGTCAACACTGGGCTGCCTGGTCAGGCGTGTTATTAGTGTCAATACGCCCTCTGTCGTGACGCGAGAAGAACACCGTCTGGCGTGCGT